CTTACTACACCCAACAGAGCGCAAATGCTGTGTAGTGAACAGCTGATATACTGCATTGCTCAGGGGATGATGACCCCAAAAGTCTGTACGTGGTCAGTACAGCCATAATTTTTTTTCTAATATTTTCAACCTGTTGGTTGAATCCACAGATACAGAACCCACGGATATGGAGGGCTAACTGTATACATGTCTCCATTGGGTAGAACTGCAAAATCAAAGGTAAGAAAACATTGGGCTTTACAAAGTAGATATTCTCAAACAGTGTTGGTGCATTTATACCGCCATCAGTAGTACATGAGAGTTCCAGCTGCCCCACATTCTGGCCAACACTTGGCATTTTCAGGTGTTATTCACGTTGCTTCTAGTGCTTTGGGTGAGTGTGAGGTGGTGTGTAGTGACAGAGCATCAAGGGTTTACTTTCCCTGCTCCTGACAACTAATATCCAATGCATGCTCATATGCTTATTAGCCAACTGGAAATCCTCTTTTGTAATATGCCTGAGGCTTTTACTCTTTTTTCTTTTCAGATAGAGCTGTCTGCATTTTTCTTACTGACTTACAAGAGATCCTTATATTTCATGGATGTAAGTCCTTTTCAGATATGTGTCATGCAAATACCCTCTCTCATCCTGTGGGTTGCCTTTTCACTCTCTTAATGGTGTATTAATTTTAACAAACCTAAGTTTATCAATCTGTTCCTTTACAGTTAGCACTTGTGCCTCTGAGTAAGAAATGTCTGCCCACATAAAGATGTGAAGGTAGCCTTCTCTGGTATCTTCTAGAAGTGTTGTCTTATCTTTTGCATGTAGGTCTATGATCCAGCTGGAAGAGTTTTTTGTGCACGGAGTGAGTTAAAGTTTGTAAAGCATCCTTTTTTTTTTTCAGTTCAAACATTCAAGTGATGAAGCACCAAGCCCTGAATAAATCATCTACTTCCCACTGCGGGGCAGTCCACCTGACCACAAACCCGGCCATCACGTTGTGTGTGGGTCTGCATCCCAAATCCATTCTGTCCTGTGGCTGTCGGTCTGTCTAGCCTTGCACAAACACCACTGTTTCCATTTCTGTGCTTCATGTCATGTTCCAATACCTGGCAGTGTAAACTCTTCACTTTGGTTTTTCTTCAAAATTGTCTTCACTATTTTGAGTCTTATTCATATTTCCATATACATTTTAGAATCAGCTTGACAATTTAAACACACATGCACATGCACGCTTAAAACCTGTTGGAATTTTACTGGGATTGTGTTGAATCTATAGATTCATTTGGTGAGAACTGACATCTCTATAAACATGGTAGCCCCCTCCATCATTTAGATCTTTTGTAATTTCAGTAATGCTTTGTAGTTTTCAGCATAGCAGCCTTAAACAGTTCTTCATAGATTTCTTCTAGTTTTGATGCTATTATAAATGGTATCACTTTTTAAATTTCATTTCCAAATTGTCTTTTGCTAGCATACACAATGTCTTCTTGTATATTGACCTAGTTCCAGTAGTCTTGTCAAACGTACTTATTAATTCTAACAGCACATCACAGATTATTTCCCACGTACACAATCATGCTCTCTGCAAGTACAGTTTGTTTTCTCTTCCCAATCCTTATACCTTTATTTTTTTTGCATGCTTTATTGCACTAGATAAGATTCCTAGTATGATGGGAATAGAAGCAATAGTACTAGACATCTGTGTTTTGTTCTCAGTCTCAGAAGAAAAGATTTTAGTATCTTCCCAGTAAGTGTGATGTTAACGGTAAGGTTTTTAAAGATACCCTTTAACAGATTAAAGGTATTCCCATCTATTCCTAGCTTGCCAAGAGTTCTTCAGCTTCCTTAAGTTAGAGCTGAATTTTATCAAATGCTTTTCTGTATTCACTGAGATGACTGTATAGCTTTTATCACTTATTCTATTAAAATGGTGAATTATACCAATTGTTTCTGAATGCAAACTAACCTTGCATCCCTAGAATAAACCCTACTTTATAACGATATATCCTCCTTTTTATATATTTCTTACATATATTTACTTTATTAGCATTTTGGTTAGAATTTTTGCTTCTATGTCCATGAGAGAGACTGATATGTTACTTTCCTTCTTGTGACATCTTCACAATAATTTGGAATCAAGGTATGACTGGCATAAATCACAGGATGTGTTTCCTCTTTTTACATTCTCTTTAATAGTTTGTGTAAATTGGTGGGTTATTTACTCCTCAAATACTTAGAAGAATTCACCAGTATAGCCATCTAGGTCTGGAGTTTTCTTTGTAGGATATTCATTAATTATGGATTTGATTTCTTTAATAAATATTGAACTTTCCAGATTCTCTGCACATCTTGGTAAATTATGGTTTTCTAAAAAAAAATTATATTTCATCTCAGTTGTCAAATTTATTGGCATAAAACTGTTCATAATATCTTTATATTACTTTTAAAAAATTGTCAGATCTGTGATGATATGCCTATTTTCATTCCTGAAACTGATAATTTGTATTTTCTTTCTACATCTTGATTAATCCTGTAGGGGTTTAACAATTTCATTAATCCTTCTAAAGAACCAACTCTTTTGGCTTTGCTAACTCATCTACATGTATTTTTTATATTTCATTAATTCCTGCTTTAATAGCTACCTACATGATGCCACATGCATCCTTGGCTTACTGCAGCTTGCCTTAGACTAGTATTTTTGTCACTTCTCTGATGATGCAAGGACATTACAATGCTTTCACACCATTAACCTCCTCTTCGTCTTTTGTGCTAGAGTTGTCGACGGTACATTTGACCCATATATGAAAACCCAAAATTGTTGTATTATTCAACAGTCAACATGAATTTGGACACATCCACATTTCCTGTTTTCCATATTCCCCGTTCCTTGCCCTGTTACTGTGCTTCCCTCCGGGATCACTTTCCTTTTTCCACTTTGCAAGCATCCCATTGATGATGAATTCTCTCAGTTTTTGTTTTTCTAAAGACGTTTTCATTTCACCTTTATTTCTGAAGAATATTTTCACGAGATGCAGAACTGAAGGCTGGTAGTTATTTTCATTGGGCACTTTGAAGATGTGCTTCCACTGTCTCATGGACCCCACTGTTTCTTTTGAGAAAGTCAAGTGTCAGTCTTGCATCTCTATAAAAATAATATACTTTTTTCTCTAGCTTTAATGTGCTTTTAAGATTTTTTTTCTGGTTTTAATCTCCTTTTACGATTTTATTTTTATCTTTTCTTTTCCAATTTTTATTTAATATTATGCAATGGTAAAGGGTAGCTTTTTAAAAAAGAGGATAAATTTATCCTATTTATCATAGAGCTTCTTGAAGCTGTGGCCTGAAGTATCTGGACAGTTTTGGAAAATTCTCAACCATTACTTCTTCAAATATTATTTCTGTCCGTTCTCTCTCCCTCCTGTTCATCTAGGACTCCAACGACATGCTTTTGTAGATTTTCTATAATATTTTTCCTCTATGTTCCACTATAAGTGTTCTCTTAGGCCCTGCCTTCTAGTCTACTAATCCTTTCTTCTTTGTCTAATTTGAGGTTTAGCCAATTTATTGAATTAATTTTAGTCACAGTATCTATCGTTCAATACTAGAATTCCCGTTTTTATTATTTTTATAAAATGTTAAGTTCTTTGGTAAAAGTCTCTGCTATTTCATCTATTTTCTTTCACACATTAATAATACAGGTTGAATATTCCTTATTTGAAATGCTTGGGACCACAGTGCTAAATATTTTGGATTTTTTTCAGGTTTTGGAATATTTGCATTATACTTACCGAATATGCATCCCTAATCTAAAAATCTGGAAACCAAAATGCTACAATGAGCATTTCCTTGGAGCATAATGTTGGTGCTCAAAAAGTTTCAGATTTTGGATTTTTGGATTATGAATACTCAACCTGTGGTTATTTTAAGGTACATGTCCAATCATTTCAGTATCTGTATCACCTGTAGATCAGTTTCTACTTACTACCTTTACTTAGCTTTAGTAATTTGATCCTGTTACCTGTCATGCCTAGCAACTTTGGTTTAAATCTCAGGCATCATGTATGAAAAATTAGAAAGATTCTAGACATTGAATCGTCTTCCAGAAGAGACTCAATTATCTTTGAGTAGACAGAAATAGACATGATTCAAGGTTGTGTCTCATGTTTTGTTAGGGCTGGTCTATTTCTGGTTTACCTTAAGCTTTTAGGGTCTCTAATGAAATCTGTAGTGTTTACAAGACTTCCTCCTTCTGAGCGAGATTTGAACTCCAACTTTTATCTCTTTATTACTCTGAGAGTGCCTCAATTTCTGTTTAATTTTTCTTGTAAACTGTTTTGGCTTGATTCCTCGGGCTCTCACGATGTGCACGCACTGCTTATGAATCTGCAAGTGTATGCCTCAAGGGACACTGCGTTGAGTGCTGCAATCCCCTTTCTCTAGGATTTTGGTTCTGAGCAGCCCTGAACTCTAACGTTTGTCTCCCCAGCCCAACAAGACCATTAAAGCTCCAAGCCACCACCTCTGTTCAGTCTCGGTAAGCTGAGACACAGATTGGCAAATGCCCCAGCAGGTAGAAAGGACGTGAAGATGAACATGGATTATTCTAGAATGTTTGCCTCTCAAGGTTGCCCTAGTGGCTCTCTGATACCTCCAGCCTGTCAGATCTCTGTGTGTCTATCTGTGTTCGTGTATCTGTGTGTGTGTCTGTCTCAATGTGTGCATATGTATTTAATGTAGGTCCTACAGGCTCTTGGCAGGAGGGCTGGTCTGACACCAGTCAGTCCTGCACGGCACATGGAACCGTCCACAGTCACTATCTGGGAGCTTGCCCTGTGGCAGGCACTGCACCAGAGCCCAAAGGTGAAATCGCCAATGTTTTAAGGCTGTTCATCAAGGTGGACCCCTCAGATGAGGTCCCCGCCCTAGGTCTTTCCTACCCCTCCCCAGAGCACAAATGGCACTGGATTCTGTGCTATCCCCTAACACCCACTGACCGTGGTAAATATTTGGTACCCACCTGTTTGCCGCCCCTCTGTGCTGTGGGAAGCAGTGCTCTGGACTTCTCTGCAATTTTCTGTTGGAAAAAGGACCAGAGGAGAAAGGAAGAACAAAAAAGGTGGGGCGGAGAGAAGAAAAGGTCAGATAAACACAAGGTATCAGACAATGACTCAGCAAAACACACCTTTGATCGACTCTCTGAGAGAAAGGAGCTGCCCTGGTTCTTGGCTGGGCTCTGCAGGGATTTGCTAGATGGCCTCTGCCAATGCACATAAGCCCCCGGGGCCTCAGTTTCCTCACCTGTCAAAACAGGATGAGATCTGTTCTTCCTATTTCCCACGAGGCTGCTGTGAGGTCACCTCTGGGGTACTTCAAAGGTAAACATCCTTTAAGAGGCAGACACTAAGGTATACCACGGGATCCTGGCTACCTGCAGAATGTCTGCAAGGAAGGCCCTTCCTCTGCCTTGGGGGATGGGATTGCATCAGGCCAACCCAGTGACAAGCCAGCTGGTGTGGTGTTCGAGAGACCCAGGCCCACCCACCTGGCCCACAACCCCCACCTGGCACCTCACCTTCTGCACCACTCCGTAGCGCTGCAGTGCATCTGCTAGCTGCGTTTTCAGCCGGTCCAGCTGAAGGCGCTCCTGGGCAAATAGAAGGTGTAGCTTACAAGGGGCTGAGGCCCTGCCCTGCCCCCAGGCCCCTCCGGCCCTGGGGGGCTTCAGTTCCCAGTGCTCCTTTGCCCCTCTCACCCTCCTGGCAGCGCACCCACCACCCCTACTCTCACCTTCACCATCGTCATGTACTCCTGCCCTCAGAAGTGGGCTCATCACCATCTACTTCCCCCCGAGTGTCACCCCCATCTCCACAGGCACAGCCAGTGTCCCCATGGACACCATCACCACTAAATTCTAAGTCATCTTCAACAGACCACGGGACCCAGGAGCCACTCTAGGCACATGTACTTGGCCTCAGCGCTCCCCAGCTCAGTTGGACGTGTTATGATCCCTGTTTCACAGCACAGGGAACTGTGGCCCTGAGTCCTCAGCGGCTTGCTTGAGGTCACATGGATGGCGGGGCCACGTCTCATCAGAACTGCCTCCTCTCCCCCACATCCTGCCTTTTGCCCCCTCTCCCAGCCCTTCCTGCTAGAATGTTCCCCACCACACCTCAGCGCCCACAAAGAGATTGCCACAGAGCGGGTGCTGGAGAAACGCTATCCGGGGGGACTGGACAAGCAGGGCCTTGCAGCCAGCACTGCCCGCTCTGGTGTGCTGAGGGTACCACGCCAGCAGTCCGCCCTCCTGCCTCTTGCCCGTGAAACCTCGCCAGCTCCCGGCACTCGGGCCCTCCACCAGGACCCAGCCAGCCTCTCAGGCCACAGACCAAGCCCGCCCCTGCCTGGGGCTTCTGTGCAGGTCCAACCTGGACCTGTCCCCTGGGCCCTCAGAGCTCACCTTTCACGACTGCCCTGCCCTGCCACCCAAGCCTGTGGCAGAGGAGGGGTCAGGACCAGCTCTCTAATGCACTTGGTGGCATCTGGGCCTAATGGCCACTCCCCTGGTGGCAGATCTGTGGAGCCTGTGTCAGTGTCCAGTGAGGCTCCTGTCACTGGCACCACGTGTCCCCCAGCACAGAGCCAGGAGCCCAGGCAGAGCTTCAGTTCTTTTGAGGAAAACAGCTCCAGCTCTGTCATCTCTCCCGTCATCTCTGCACGATCAGCAGTGCACCCTCCTTGCCCAGAGACAGCAGCGCGCTGTCGTGCATGCCCCTCACACAGGCTGCACTGACTTCCCTGGTCCAGGCCCGGCCAGCAGAGGAAGGACAGAGCCAGGTGTGAACCTGGGCATGCCGCCCTGCAGCCACATGGAGCCTCAGGAGCCTAGGGTCACCGGGATGCCCACACCATATCATCGGAAGCAGCAGGGCTAGAGAATCACCCCCAACTCCTGGCGGCCCTCACTGAACAATGAGGCAGCAATGGCAGCTGTTACCATCCCCACCATCCCCTGGAGTCCAGCAGGACGAGGGGAGCCACACCCCCTCCTCGATGCCACCGCTGAGAGTAGCCCAAGGCAGGGATCGCATCCCAGACACTTGCTGGACAACAGAGGGGCATGGGTGCCCTTCCTCCATCCCCACGCACCAGGGACCCTTCACACCCAGCCCTGCTGGGACTAGCAGCGCCCTCTTCCCTTCACTCTGCACCCCCGCACACCGCTGGGTTCCCCACCGCTTCACTGTGGGCTGGGTTCCACCAGGCTTAAAGACCTCCCATTGAAATGTCCTCCAGAAGGCCACACACATGCAGCAAGTCTAACTCCCGCCATGAGCCCCATCGTACCCTGCCCAGGCCCTGGGGCAAGGACGCTGTTTGGCTCACAGTGTGTCCCCCCACAACACCGTGAGGGCCTTGATAGAGGGAACCCCATCTCATCTATACCCTCACTGCATCTGGCACAGAGCAGGCGTTCAGTGAATGTCCGCTGTTTTCACAGATGGATGGGCAGTGGGTGGGAGGAAAGAGGGAAGGCTGCCTCGGGGGAAAAGTGGTCTCTCTAAAGGAGCAGGGAGCTCAAGCTCTGATGTCACTGCCCTCATGACACATGCAGAGATGGGAACACGGACTCTGGACCCACAAAGACCAGAGCTCAGATCCAGCCGGGGGCAGGACACGCTTGGAGCCCCAGCCGCCCTCCCCACAGAAATGCCTTTCAGAACCACGGCTCATCATAGTCTGGGACCTAGCACAATGTCCCACGTAAGAAGGACCCAATAAATATTTTTAGACGGATGAACAAATGAATGAATGAATGAAGGCATGCATGAGTCAAGGAACAAGGACCAAAGTTAAAAAGGCCAGCACAGGCGTCAATGCAGCGAAGCCCTGGAGAAGCTGGTCATCATGCTGCCCCACAGCACTGCACGAGGACCCACACATCCTGCCAGCGGGTGCAGAACCAGAGGAGCCCCGGCTCCCACCGACCAGCCACAGCTGAGACGCTCACACCACGCACAGAACAGTCCACACAGCTGGGGGCCAAAGTGCCCCGTGCTCCCGCAGTCCCCGACTTTGGAATACTCCATTCACCCCATCACTGGACAACTGGCTGCTCCTCTATCACGTTTATTTTTAGCATAACTAACTTTTGAAACCAGCGCTACTTTTTTAAATACCAGTTTTATTACTATACTAATTTAGATCCCATAAAATCCATCCGTTTTAAGTGTACAGTTCAATAATTTCCACTCGTACAACCTTCGCCACAACCCAGTTTTAGAACATTTCCATTGCCCCAAAAAGTGCGCCGGTTCCCGAGTGCAGCCCCTCTCCACTTCTGCTCCCAATCCCGCAACCACTAGTTTGCTTTCTGTCTCCAAAGACGCGCATTTCTGGACATTTCACGCAAACAAAACCACACAGTGTGTGTTCTCTTGCGTCTGGCTCCTCGCATTGGCACACTGTCTCTGAGCTTACTCCACACTGCAACCAGCATGGCATGGCCGCTGCATTTGAGGCCTCTCTACCGTGGACAGTACCCACTGCGACCACGCGCGACACGTGCATTCTCTGCGGAGGCCAGCAGACTTGTTCTATAAGGACCCAGAGATCGACACTTTAGGCTTTGTAGGCCAGGCCGCTGTAACTATCAACTCTGACACTGTAGCCCCAAAGTAACTATGGACAGTATGTAAATGAGCAGGTGTGACTGTATTTCAATAAAACTTTATTCATGAAACAGGGGCAGGCTGTGGACTGCTGTCTGCTTGCGCCTGCTCCGTAATACTCTAGGGTTCGATGGCATTTAATCTTTGTGGTGAGCAATCTCTAATCCTCGGGGGCTGGGCAGGCTGTGGACAGGTGACATGGAGTGTGCTGACCTGGCGTGGGAGGAGGGTGCTGGTGGGGACAGAGAGGGCCCTGGGCTGGCTGCACTGGGACGGTGGCTGTGGTGGCAGGTGTGGTGATGACTGTGACCATGGCCGCAGGACAGGAAAGCGCACGTGGAGGTGGCCGTGGACACCGGGCTTAGGTGAAGGGGGCAGGGGTGGGGGAGGTGAGGGCACTGGAGGGATGAGGATGGTGAAATTAATGATGGGGAGACGTCAGTGTCCATTCAGAAAAGCCCAGCCAGGAAGACTCAGGGCGCTCTTGTGCCCACTCCATCGTAAGGCCCAGGACAGCAGGACTCCCAGCGGCCCCAGACCTCAGAGCACGGTCAGGGAATAGCTGGTGACTGAACGACTGAGCACACTGAGTTCTGACCCGTGGAGCCAGGTCCCAGGCCAGCCTACGTGTCAACCTCCCGTGTTTTGCCCCCGCCACGTCCCCTCCCCATTATGGGCACAGGGTTCCCCTCCTCTCCCCACTGCTGGCCCCAGATTCCCAGGGGAACATACCGGGCAGGAGCCGTGCAGGAGCTCGGACATCTGCTTCATGGTGCCGGCGCTGGCTGCGATGGTTCTGTTGGTCTCCTGCTGCGTCGTGTGCCTGGGGCCAGAGCAGGAGAAGGGAGCAGAACAGGGAGAGGACAAGAGCAGACAGGGGCCCAGCAGGTGTGGCAGAGGGAAGGACAACACAGAGACAGACAAGAGAGGGCCAGGGAGACACACAGATAAGACAGTAGGAGAGACAGGAAACCGCAGGAAGGAGAGTTGGAAACAGGAGGCGGCGAGGGCACAGGGAAAGATGACGAAGGAAACAGAGGGATGAGAGACAGCAACAGAGAAGGAAGAGAAGGGGAAGCAGAGGGACCCAGAGGGGCCAGAGCATGGAGAGAAAGGCAGAGACACACAGAGAGAGACGAGGGTCAGGGAAGACAGAGGCAAGTGGGCATGAGGGTGAGGGGGAGACGGCAGAGGTGAGCTCAACCGGGGCAGACACCCACAGCAGACACAGACCGTCACCTCACACCCCAGCCCGGCCACCCCAAACCTGCACAGATTAGCCCAGAGCTCTCCGGCCCCCACCGGCAGTAGCGGCTGTACCACCAAGGAGGCCCAGCCATGACCCCTCCCTGCAGAAAGGCCCCCCTTGGGGTCAGCCACTCCTTGGGAAGCTGGCGGAGCAGGGTGGCCACAGCGAAATGTCCCAGGGTCCTCAACTCCACCGTACACCTCTGCAGGGGCCTGAGTGAGACTGTTCCCATGTGTGCAGACCCAGTGACACAGGAGGCAGGGGCAGACCCGGGTTACAATTCCACATATGACCTCCAAGGCAACTGAACAGACCAGCCCATCTTCTACTCAGGTTCATGTCCCCTAGGCCCCCTGGACCAAGTGACACCTGAGGCAAAGCCTGCTCGCAGCCCGCCGTGGGCACACACCCCCAAGTGCGGAAGGCATCCTAGCCTGGCAGAAAGCGGAGAACCCTCGTGACCCGAGCGGTGCACCCAGCGGCCCGCAGGCAGCAAGGCAGTGCTGCGCTCCCTGCAGGCCCCGCAGGCCTCAGGGCTGATGTGCAGGAGGGTCCTCAAAGACCACCTGCTGGACCCTGCACCACCAGTCACGGGCAAAGACGGCAGCGGCAGGACCTCCCCGACACCCGCCTGGGGGCATGCGGAGCAAGTGGCACCCACGGACATGGGGGCGCCCCTGTGCCAAAGGGGAGCCCAACATGCTGGTGAGGGCGGGGCCGGGGCGTAGCATGCAGAAAGGTGACTGGAAAGACGGAACACTGGGGACGTGGGCGTACAGTCACCCACACGCTGTGTCCGCCTCAGGCCTGACTCCTCCCGTGGCTTGCAGAACCCAGGGCATGCAGCCCAGGGCGCCCGCGCAGGGCACCTTGTTCCTCCCACCCAGGCCTCGAAGTGTCAGAGCCGGGGGCCAGGCACAGACACTGCCCCACACCTGCTCTCCCCACGCCAACCACCTCAGTCGCCTCGTCCAGCCTCATGGCCTGAAATCCATGTGAAAGCCACCACCCCACAGTCATGTCCCCAGCCAGGACCTGACTCCAGACTGGCCCTTCTACAGACCCCACAGCTCCACGTGGGGGTGCAGCAGCAGCACACGGTCAACTGTCCAATACCAACACCTCCTGCAGCCCACTCCCCTCACAGAGGTCCCCATCTCAGCTCATGTGACCCCCTCCTCCTCCTCCAGCCAAGCCTTTGGGTCGTCCTGTCCATATGTCCTACATTCCTTACTGCAGCCCACTGGCACGCTACCTCTGCCAACAATTGGTCTAACATTCCGAAAAGAATGCAGAAGCAGAATGTGCCTGTCACCACACTGCTCCCAGTTGTCCCTCCCTTCCCAGGGACACTGCACGGCCCCATCGTCCCCTCCCCTCCTCACAGGGATGTGGCACAGCCTCCTCACCCCCTCCTCCCCTTCCAGGGATGCTGCACAGCCTCCTGTCCCCACCCCACTCACCGCGGCGCCACATGCATTCCGTGCACAGCACGCTGAGCGACCCACTAAGGAAAGGTCTGGCTATGTCACTGCACACCTCAGAGCTCACCTTGATCCCACATTTCATCCTGGTCAGAGCCAAGGTCCCTCTAAGATGTTTCTGGCCCTCAGTCAGGGCCTCTGCTCCTCCGACCTCACCTCTGCATCTGCCCCTTTTGCTGGTTCCACTCCCATCGCACGGGTCTCTCTGCCTTTCCTTACTGAGCCACATGACTCCCTGCCCTGATGTTTTGCTCCTGTTAGCCCAGAGCGACCCAGACAGACCGCGTGGGACGCCCAGCCCTGGGCCACTGATAGCCAGAAACAGCCACCAGTGCTCCTGCCTGGCCCGGCTCCAGCACCTGCCCCAGACAGGTCACGCCCCACTCTTGCTCAGAGCTGACCTCACCCCTGACGCTCCCAGCCGTGGCAGGTGCTCCCACCCCTCCCACACCTTCCCGGAGCCATCGGTGCGAGCGCAGGGCAGCCTACTTCCTGTGCTGCGACACGTCAGAGCTTCCCTTTCCAGGCAGCATCTCAAACCCGTCTCCCTCACAAACTGTGATCACTGCGTAGGATCAAAGCGAACAAGGCCTCCTTACCCAGCCTGGCAGCCCCCCAGGCATCAGATCACTTGCCAAGGGCTCCGTGGGAACAGGAGGCTGCCAACCAGCAAACCCAAGGAGGGGTGACAAGGGGCTGAGGGAAGGGGACACCCCAGGCGAGGAAAGGGGCCAGAACAGAAGGGTGTTGGGAGTCTCCACCCTCCGCCCTGCTCACTCTAATCAGAGTCCTGACCCAGAGTCCCCTTGCAGCCCAGGGGCCAGACCCCTGCCAGGAGCGAGCAGACGCCGGAGGGAAAACACGAGAAAGCAAAAGCTGGGGTGTGGCTGGAACAGAGCTTGAGAGAAAATTACTGCTTTAAATCCTTCTATCAGAAAAGAGAAAGAAGAAAACCGATGTCCTAAAAGTTCACCTAAAGAAGCTGGCGAATGACACACAAAGGAAGCAGAATGGACACTATAAAGCTAGGTGCAATAATTAATAAAATAGCAAACCAATCAGCAACAGAAATGATCGCTACAACCAAAAAACACTCTCTGAAAGCATCAAAAACTTGCAGAGCTCTACTACACAAGTCGGGAGAGAGGAAAACACGTACAAATGACCAGTGTCAAGAAGGAAAGAGGGGACTTCACGACAGATTGAACCCTAGAAGGATGAGAAGGAAACATTACAAATTACTTTATGCCAATACACTTGATAGCTAAGATGAAACAGAAAAATTTCTTGAAAGACATGAATTATCAAAACTGACTCAAAAAGAAATAGAAAACCTAAATAGCTCTGTATATAATAAAGGAATTCAATTTGTACTTTAAAATATTGCCCCAAATACACAGGTACAGATGGCTTCACTATCAAATGATTAAAGAAAAAATACAGAGCTGGGCCAGTGGCTCTCACCTGTGAGCTCAGCACTATGGGAGGCCCAGGCAAGAGGATTGCTTGAAGCCAGGACTTGAGACCAGCCTGAGCAACACAGCGAGACCCTGTTTCTACAAAAAATGTTTTAAATTAGCCTGGGATGGTGTCACGCGCCTGTAGTCCCCGCTACTTGGGAGGCTGACGGGGGACGATCGCTTAGGCCCAGGAGTTTGAGGCTGCAGTGAGTTGTGATCAGGCCACTGCACTCCAGCCTGGGCAACAGAGCAAGATCCTATCTCTCTCTATAAATGAATGAATGAATAAATAAATAAAAATTACAGCACACTTTTTTAAAAAAATAGAAATCAACAAGCTGATTGTAAAGTTTATGCTGACATACAAAGGTAAGGGGGAGGAGCAGACAGTCTGAGCAGTGCCCGTGGCAGCACTGGCTGGGCTGGGTGGACATTGTGCCCTGGGGCCGTAAAGGGCAGGGACAGCTCATGGCCACTGCCTGAGTGTCCACACTGCACAATGAGCCGGGGGAGCTCCATGGAACACTTGCTCCCCAAGAGGTCCACAAGGCCGAGCATCCCCCCAAGATCTGAGAAACATCCCAGAGGCACTTTCACACAGACACCAGGAGCTCCTGCTGGCCCAGAGATGCCCCTGCGAGGGGAGGGTGGCAACAGGGCAGGGTGCAAATCCCAGGAGAGCCTTATGGAGGCCCTGGCTGGGAGGGCAGCGTAGGCAGGAGTCCTCCTGCGACAGGCACCTCCAGTGAGGCAGAGAGTGGCAGAAAGCTGGGGAATACCCGCAGCCTCACAGAGCCCACCAAGGACAGGAAAGGGACCGGGGCCAGCAGTGCAACCCTTAGTCCAGGGATGTCCTGTGCTCTCACTGTCAGAGTCAGGGTAGAGTAATGATAACAACTGTTATCATCAGTCATCCTTAGTTAGTTGTTACAATAAAGACAGCAAATAAAGCCCCCATTTCGTGTCTCATTTCCTTGCCCATCCTCAGCCACCATGCGGGGAGGGTCCTGATCTGTCACCTTGGCTCACATGGCTGGGGGAACAAGCAGTTTACTGAGTGGAGGGGGCAGGGATGACCGCACCTGAGCCCTCCAGCAATACATGATGCCTGTCCTGTGATCCAAGCACCCAGCAAGGCCTATGCCAGTGAACCCATGACCCACACCTAGCCCCGGCCTGCTTCGGCAATGAGCCAAAGCTGGAAACTCTAGCTCCGCACTGAGGAAGCCAGCCCCTCTCTCCATAGTCACAAGTGGAATACAGATGTGATGCCTAGAACCACAACACCCATTTTGTCACCATGAGAGAACCTGGCCTGAGGGCAAATATGATGTTCCAGCACAACCAAGAGAAACCATGTGAACTAAAGCCTTGATCAAATTGCACCTGAAGCCCTATGGCCACTGACATTTCATTTACAAAAGCCCATATATCCCCAAGAAGCCAGCTCTGCATGTTTTCTGTTGCCTGCAACTGAAAGGTGACACAAGTGCTACATAAATCAGGACATCCCTTTCTTAGCACCCCTCTGCACAGCCTCACAGCTGCCCTGCTCAGCAGCCCCCTCATCTCCAGCCAGTGGGCACTGTTGCTACAGGTAGGCAGGTATGACTGATGAGCCCTGTGGGAC